AGCAGAGAGCCTGATGCGGGGCTCGATCCCAGGACCCTGGGATCATGACCTGAGCTGAAGGCAGACGCTTAACGACTGAGCCACCCAGGCGCCCCAAGAAAGTAATTTTTAAAGAACCTAATGATATGTCCTAATTTTAGGATTCTTAATCTGGCAAAATTTACATGCTTATTTTCTGCTTATTGTGAATTGTTTTAGAAATTTAGTAGAATTGACATGACCATATAAGCAGTTTTAGCTTGCTTACCCCCCTTTAAAAAAAAAACACAGACACACTGTTTAGATTTCTAAAGTTAAGGCTGAAAGTTTTCTTTTTTTTTAAAGATTTTATTTATTTATATGACAGAGAGACACACAGCGAGGGAGGGAACACAAGCAGGGGGAGTGGGAGAGGGAGAAGCAGCCTTCCCACGGAGCAAAGAGCCTGATGTGGGGCTCAATCCCAGGACCCTGGGATCATGACCTGAGCCAAAGGCAGACGCTTAATGACTGAGCTACCCAGGCACCCCTGAAAGTTGTTTTTCTAAATGAATGAGAAATTTTACACAAGTCTTAGTGAGAACGAATACATTTCAAAGAAACTGAACTGTGAAGTTGTTTTGTTTGGACACCATATATAATTAGTTCTAATAATAACAAGTTAAAGTTTTGGCTTGGAATTATTGAACTCATATGAAGGCAGATAGACTATTATTGTGGGAGAATAATTTCAAGTAATTTCAGCCTGTAAGAGTTGTTTAATGTCCTGTTAGGAGAAATCATTTCATAGCAGTCTATGGGTGAATACTGTATGTTGGAATATACTTAATCATGTTTTATTTTTCTGTTTTAGGTTATTTTGCTCTCGGTACTATTTCCATCAAAATTTCCTTCATATTTTAACATTAGGCTTTCTATGTAAAAGTGAGACCGTTAAAAATATTAAAAATACAAATTAAAATTAAGTACAGTGGGAGCAGAGGCTATAGCAATTGACCATTATTTTTCTAAAAGCTTATCATTATATATGAGGAAAGGACAGTGATATTTACTGTGAACCTCTCAAGAATTAAATCTTGTCTTGGCTTTCAAAAAAAGATACTTGATTTCTGAGCTGGTGATAATTTCAGAGTTTTGACTTCTGTGTAATTGGATAGCTGAAGTGTGTTTTAAGTCAAGAACTTTGAATACTTTCTAAATCAGTCAGTGTATTTTTTATATCCAGGACATTTGGGTTAAGATTTTTTACTTTATTTTTGAAATTAAAGTTAGACTGAGATAAATAAATAAGTCATATAAATAAAAAGTTTTGATCATAACATTGTTAAAAGTTTTTTGAAATTAAGAGTTTACCTAAACATTTGAAATATGTAACGTTTTACATCATGCTGCTTTTATAGCATATGGCAAACCAAAGGTATGATTTTTTTTTGATAATCCTAAAATTTTATTCTAGATTTGTCTTGCTTTCATATGCTGAAATGGTTTTTTAATAGCAGAGTTGGTATTTTTTAAAACAGATTGGGTAGTTCTTATAAAGCACCACAGAGATGTTGTGTATTCCCAATCACAGATAAGTTAGGATGTTGAGTTAAAGGGAACTAAGGTTTGAATGTTTGTATAAAAGGCATTTAAGATTCCACCTAAAAATGAACATGAAAGAGAGAACACAAGCTCTTCTGTTCCCCTCATTGCATTATTAATGAGCCTTTGATTTTTCGAGAAATGGTCTGGAATCTGAATAAGCACTTGGTGTTGAATACTAATATGTGAGAAGATTTAAGTTTATATCACCTTTAATTTTTAAAACTTTGTATTGTAACAAATTAAAAATGAGCAATATTATCAGCTCAGTACACTGATGTGTATCTTAAGCTAGATTTCAAAATTTAATTCAGGCGAAGAAGAATTATCCATTCTGAAGTTTAATTTGCTTTACTCTTAGCTGGCATGAAACACACAATGCTTTATGAAAAACTTACTTGTGTCAGTGTAGGTATCTAGTATCTAGGACCTCAACATTACAATATGACTGCTGTTTTAATCCTCACCTTTTTTGGATTATTTTTCTTCGCTATTGTAACATAAAATTAAACTTTCAAGTGAATAATGTTAAAAATAATGGAAAAAAATGATTTTTTTAAAGTTTAAGGAAGTTAGAGTAGTTGTCTGATGAATAAAGTTTAAGTTGGGATAGCTGGAACATTATTTCTTTTTTATCTTAATGAATTTGTTTTTATTATTGATTGTATAGTATCCACTAATAGATTAACATCATCTAGATTATTTAATATTTTGTCAAGTAGATTACGAACTTTTTTCTTACTGTCTAATGGACCTAAATACAGATGCACTTGCATGTTTCTGCATAATCTTCTCTAGGATGTTTCATATAATAGAGAATGATTGATAATAAGTACTTAGGTAAAACTTAATCATTCATCAGAGCAGCAGATCACTAATGACTTTTCCCAAACATGTCTTTTCTCATAAACTAATAGATCTATAATAGAAAAATGTGTTTTTTCAAATGACTTCTCTCATGGCTTCTTTTGCATGGAAAAACTAGAGATGTTTTGGGTCCAACCATGTATAACATACTTTAAAAACGTCATGCCACTATTCAGTATTTTAAAATAGTATTTTGAACAAATTGATCAGCTCTGAACAATGCATCTCCTTTACGCAGAAAGGAGTTAGAGTAGTCATCATTACAGTTTTATTTTAGGACAGAAAATCTTTTTCTTGTGAATATTTTCTGCTTCTTATTTCTCAATTAACTTTTTTGGATTCTTTTTCCCTGTTCCATTTATTGAGGAGTGGAGAGATGGGAAAGGTGTTAAACATGATCATTTTAGTTTGAATACTATATCAGTGAATTTTGATCATTTATAAGACTTTATTTTTGGGTGTGAGTTGATGTTCCATAGGAATGCTTAATTCCTTGAAAAGGTCCTGTGTGATAGAAAAATTAAAGTTTTTTAAAAAGATTCTGTATAAGCCAGTGACCTCAATATTTTCTTGATATTTTCCTTTTTTAAATAGTTGTAGGGTTTGTGGAACCCCTGCTTTGAATTTATTGACTTCAGGGGAAAAAGTGTGTGTAGTGAATGAGCTGGTCCTTAGGCTATTTTTGTGTTCTTATTGTTTTATCGTACAGTCTTAGAGTAAGATACAATGCTTAATACTATATTGTTAAGTGAGCATCACAAACTAGACTAGAGTAGACAAGAACAGGCTGCTGGTTTAAAGTACAGAACAAGGAGGTTAAGAGTGTTTTTGCTGCTAATGATGAATGGTTTTCAATCATTAGAATGATGATTATCTTGAATGAGGTATAGGTACAGTAAATATCTGATTCTAAAATAACTTTAGAGGTAGGATTTGATAATAATACACATTTGGTACCATCCTAATATGGAACAGTACTTTTATCATTCCTTTAGCATTATTAAAGCCTTAATGATTTGGCTTTAGAACTCTTAACTGGACCTTCAGAGTGGTTCCCAGTCTGCTAAATGGCCACCAGTCTTTTGTCTCTATTCTTAATTTTTCTAAAATTCCTGTTTCTAAATCATTAGACCTTTCCTTCATCTTTATTTTTTTTATTTCCTACCTCTGAACCCTTTATAATACTTAACCCCACATGTTATAAATAGCCCTTTACCCCTAATTCTCTTTGTTTTTTTGAAATTTCACTTGTGCCACACACATATTGGTTGTTTATATCTGTTACTTGAATAAACATAGCTATGCCATGAAAGCCAATACATTCCCACGTAGGGTGGGGAACATGGTCCAGGGTGGGTGGTTCTTTTATAGATGCATTTTGGTTATTCTCTTTTTTACCTGACTGTTGGCTTCCTGATGTTGGAGAGCAGATCTATCCTTAGTATGCTACAGATGTTAATTAGACACATAAATGTTTTCTTCTGAGGATTCATTTTAAAAGATGTTAAATGTAGTTCTTCCATCTTGATGATGATTAGGTATTTTGCACTTAAGATTAATAAACAATAATATAGCTGCTACTTTTCACTTTGCATCTTTTGACTAATTACAATACTAATTAATTTACTTCCTTTCTTCATTTTGCTGTAATGCACTTGGACTGCACAGATCCTTTCTCTGCTACTGTAGATGCTGTTGATGATGCCATTCCAAGCTTAAATCCTTTCCTCACAAAAAGTAGTGGTGATGTTCACCTTCCCATTTCTTCAGATGTATCCACTTTTACTACTAGGACACCTACTCATGAAATGTTTGTTGGTAAAGTACCATTTAACCTTTCTTTCCAATTAATGTTTATACTGCCTAAGTATTTTTTACGTATTCATTAATTATTTTTAAGGCACTGCAGTAATTATTTTGGATTTTAATATCAAATTTTAAAATAAAGAGCAATAATGTAGTGACATTTTTAAATTAGTATCCCTAATTTTATTTAATCCAAGTTTTTAGGAAAGAAAATTTCCTTTGAAGTTGTGTTTTTTTCTTTTAGTGTTTTGTTCTCTATCGTGTTATAGTGTGATACGCAAGTTGTCTAACATCATTTGCCACATTTTTTTTCCCCACATTTTGTTTATTAATTCAGAGAGTTGGTTATAGGGTAACATCTCTTAAACTTACTGATATGTGCGTGCTTATATCTTTCCCTCTGTTTGGGAGAGAGAGGGTGTTGTCACTCTCAGTAGCTATCTTCATTTTTTAATTTTTTTTAAACTGTGAATAGTATAATTTTAGATTGTCTCAAATCCATACATACCCTTTGTCCCATTCTTAAGGATTTCACTTCATTGTTAGCCTGGAGATAAAAGACAAGTAGAAAATGAAAAACAACTCATCTAAATCGCCTTTGGTTGTGGTATAAAAATCCATAAAAAGGTAAAGTTTTACTCCAGAGCTATACAAGGAAATGTAAGTTTTTGAGTATACACTAACCTGAAATTAACGTTTTTGAACCCTGCTGAAAAGATGCTGAACACCCCTTAAAAAATGGTGAAACTGCTTTTATTCAGTTCAGAGAATAAGGTGATGCAAATTTAACTCTTTGTTAAAAGCAGCATGCAGAAAGTCATCTGTGTACCCTAAATAGATCATGTAGCCACATTCTGAACATTCTGTTCGATACATCTGAGGGGGCAGAAGAGAGGTGACTAGAAAAGAGTAGTTGGAGATTTGAGAAAGATCCAAGGCAGGTGCTGTTGTTATATATAACTAGTCTCATAGCTCCAAATTGTAATAATTAATTGCAGGCATTCCTTCATGTCATTGTAACACATTACAAATTAAATAAAAAGTGGTTGAAACTAAATTTCATATTTTGCTACTCTTCAGAAAATTTGTGAAATGCGTACCTTGTTTGCTTGGTAATAAAGGGTTACTCGAGTTATCCTTGAAATGTGGTTTTCTAATAAGTTTATATTTTCTTTGTACTTATTGAATATGAACTAGAGTATGTTCAGTGAGTATGGCTTCTTGTGTCTTTTTAAGTCAGTTGCTTTAATTTGGGGTATGAGACGATATGTCTTTACTTGGGGGCTTATAATTTCCATCTTTTAGGTCAGAGCAGTGCATGTGCTTCAGTATGTCAATCTTCTATTCACCCCAGAGGGACAGAATGGAGGGCGGTAACCTTAAATGCTAAAGGCCTTAACTATTTCACATTGAAACAGCAGCAGAGTAAAAATACAAAAACCATTGTGAGAGAGCTTTTATAAAGCTTTAAGCTTTTCAAGGAAAGCCTGTAGCAAAAGGAATATACTAGAAGTGTCATTTTCCTAATGTTTTTTAAGTTTAAGGCCTGTGGTTTGGGGCAAGAGGAAGACCAAAAAACAAAGAAAGATAGTAAAGTTGATGGCCATCAAGGTGAGTAGGTGTATTTGAAGATTAAAATCCTAGAATTGGTGATTTTAGGCTTGTGAGGACCTCCGGAGAATATTTGGTCAAGTTCTCAACTCTCATATTGATAACAGAATTACTACCATTTTTATGGATGGATCACGTGAGTCCGAAAAAAGTTAATGTACTGAGACAACCCAGCTAATAGCAAAAGCTTGAAGCAGGAATCCGGCAGCTTTGCTTTACAGTGCCCTTTCCTTATGGAAGTGTAAACTTTATTTAAACTCTGTTTAGTATTTATTTAAACTAAGATTTAAATAATCTTTATCTAAACTCTGTTATTCTTTGCCTGTAAATAGTACAAATGAAAGTACAAAGTATACTTTTTTTAAAAAAATCACATCTGCCAAGTTTTGTCATTAGCAAAAACTTACTGTTCAGTACTTAAACGTTTTTGTAAAAGTGAGTACAGAATGGGAAAATATAAATCACTCTTGTCAACCTAGGCATTAGTCTGGAACAAGGATCATTAAACCTTTTCTTAAAGGGTCAGATTGTAAATATTTTTGGCTCATGAGCCACATAGTCTCCGTTGCAGCTACCAGCTTTGGGATTATAGCATGAAGATAGCCATAGGCAATACATAAATATGCGTTTGGCTGTGTTCCAATAAAACTTTATTTATGAAGACATGCAACTGTAGTTTGCTGTCTATCCTAAGAAGAGGCTTTATAATAAGAAGCCTTTTAATTCACATTAAAAGTTCTGAGAAGTAGGGTTGTATAATAAAAATTGCAATAGTTTCTTACTCAGAGTATTAAGAGCAGGAAAGAACGACCCAAGGTATGTCATTCCTAGAGCTTTGTTGTCTAATTAGCCACTAGCTATTGTCATTTAAACTCTAATTAATTACAAATAAATTTTTAGTTCCTTAGTTGTACTAGCCACATTTCTATTGCTCAATGTGACTAGTGGCTACCATATTGCACAGAGCAGATTTATAATACTAGAAAGTTTTTTGGATTGTGCTTCTCTATAACAGTGGTCAGCAAACTTCTTGTGTAAAGAGCCAGATAGTAAGTATTTCAGACTTTGCAGGATACATAAGATCTCTGTTGTATATTCTTCTTTTATTTTCTTTCATTTTTTTTTTAAACAACCCTTTGAAAATGTAAAAACCATTTTTAGCTCACATGGCCATATAAAAATAGGCCTCTGGCTGTAATTTGCCAGCCTCTGCTCTAAAGGATTAAGAACGACCCAGAAAAATCAGAGAACAGCTACATAGACACCCTCTAACCCTTCCAGAGGAGGACATTGATCTGATGATGTGAACCTCAGTGTACGAAATAGCTTGTCCTCATTAAAGCAATTATAAGTCAGGAAGAGTGGGGTTGTGGTCCCGGCAATGCCATGTCTGTGACCTTGTTCAGGCCTGCTTACTCATCGGTAAAAGAAGACATCGGAAGATGTGTTAATATTGACTAAAAAGCCAACTGCTGCTTATTTCTCTAAGGAAATACATGTTGGTTATTTTTAAAATTTTGTTAATATATTTTAAATATATTCATAATGGAGACTGACTTTTAAGTAAGTTGTAATTTGAAGAACACTAAGAGCTTGGACTCTCCTGTTTTTGTTTTTGTTTTGTTTGTTGGTTTGTTTTTTTAATTACTCCATTCCACTCTTAACTGTTCCTCCTCATTTTTCTCTTTTCCTTTTTTTCTGTCCTTCCTCCCATGACCCAGCTCTTTGGCCCCCCCCCCCCCCCCAATTTATGCCTTGTCAGATTCTTTTTGTGGCACTCAAGCTTATCCTAATACTACCCTTATGTGCCATGAGCCTTCTACTGTAGCTGGTTTATTCGGAGGTAGGTAATGGTATCTCTAAAGTTTATCAATTTATTTATGCAGGAGGGAGTTCTTTGTTATAAAATGAGTTTTTTTTTTTAATTTGGTAAGAAAAAAATACTTGCTTTTGAAGAACAGATCATTTTTTTCCTAGTTTTGTTTGTCTTGATTAAACACAGGATTGTTTTGTGAATGGATGCTTGTCATCTCCCTACTTTAATTTATACTCAGAAGGTTCACGTTTTCAGATGAGCTTATAACATTACAAGCTTATGGAATTTAAAGCTCTTTGTATAGATGTTAGTGATAGAACACTAAATAATTTTGACTTGAGCAGTTGTGGCATTCTCCTAGAAACAAGGGTACTTTTTCAGCACTGCAAAGGCAGAAGAAATAGGGAACAGTTTCCAGAGAGCCATGGCCATTTTGATACTCATTCCTATCTTTCCAAACATGTTCTAGGCCATTGCAGTAGTAATGAAACCCCAAAATTCAGCTGATGTTTTTTTTTTTCTTTTTTGGTGCATAGGAATTGATTACCTTAGTTCAGTTGGCATGAAAAAGTAGGTCTGACACAACTGAAGAATTGAGGTTCTTGACTAGCAGACTTGGGCATGATTAAAAGTATTTAAAAATGGAATTTATGAGGACATTTGATAGAAAGTGTGTGTTTAGAATCCAGTGAATTTGCATTTGAATTCCTGTTTGAATTCCAATTCTACTTCCTTACCTGTGTGACTTGAAACAAGTATTTAACCTTTCTAAGCCTATGAAAATTGGGATGATAGTAACTTCTGGGATTGTCATGAGGTTTACATATATGACTGTATAAAATCTAGCACTATGCCTGGCATGTAAAATTATCATTAAAACTACCATTGAAAACCATCTTGTGTATGCAAATCATTTTATATTTGGAATGTAAACTTTTTACCTAAATTATTATATAATCATCAGATACAGCCTTGAACACTTTTTTCATTGCTTTTAGACTTTAAGATTGCCATGGTTGTTCACTTTTTTGGCCCAGCATTTGCTGTGAGAAGCTCAAGAATTTCATATAACTTTAATAGCTGAATAAATATAATTAATTATTATAGCTGTAATAATAGAATTTTCTTTTTCTACCTACTAGTTTATATAATACTTAGGATAAATACTTAAGATAAACTGAAAACCCCTAAAAGATTCTGGAATCACACAATTTGGGGTTTAAGTCTTGATTTTGCCACTTAATAAATCTTTGACCTTGAGTAACATTGTTTAATCTCTCTGTTTCCTCATCTGTAAAATGAGGATAATAATGACTATCACAATAGGGTTATTGTGAGGTTTAAATAATATACTGTTTATAAAGCTCTTACATAGTGTTTAATAGGATTTAAAAGTAGAAGTTACCTTCACAAAAAGTATGAGATCTAATTTATTATGGAACTACCACCAAAATCCCTTAACAAAACAGTACATTTTTCTGGAAGGTGTTTGGAATGCCTCTCTGTCCCCAAAGCTTGTTCATCTTGTGCCTTTCAGTTAATTTATTATTGTCCTCCTGAGATTTGTTCTGCCAGGCAGTGGTTTCTAAATGTTAATCAGTTAGTGATGGTCAGTGGCAGAGTTTTCACTGGGCCTTGGTGAAATGAAAGAGTAGTCAGTTCAATGTCATGATTATTTTAAACAGTTAACCTTAACTCAGAGAGCCTGTTCATCTTTTTTTTTTTGTCCATAAATTTTCTCTTTGAAATGGTGATAGTAGCTTTTAATCTTTGTTTTCAGTAACTTTTAAAAATTAAATCCTAACAGTATCCAAAAAAATGACTTGGGATAAACGGCCCTTAAGTTGATAATGTTCATTGAAATGAAAATGCAGAATTCTTACCTTGAAGATGTGTTACTACTTAAAACATTGTTACTTTGAACTACATTGCTTGCTTCCCTGGGAGTCAGTCAGCTATTACAATTTTTTAAAAATTTCTTTTTACTTTTTGCATACCCAGAGGTGTTTTAAATTTGAGGTGCTAGCTCTGGATTACTTTATATCCTCTCAAACCTTTTATACTTTTAGGTAATAGTCTTGTAATTGCACAGATTGATGCCCCTAGAGACCTCAGGAAATGGCTCCTCTCTTTACAGAAAGTAATAAATGGATTACTATAAAAGATAGGCTTATCTCTGATAATAACGAAATTCTAGAAAGCTAGGATAAAATAGCAGGAGAAAACAGGAATTTGATATGCTATCCAAGTTATAAATTATTGTTCCGTGTATTTTCTAAACTTTGGAGACCAGCCAAGGTACTGTATCCAGAATCATTTAAAGAACAATATGTGTACTTCTTACACTGTGATGGTAGCATGGGCACATAATTAAGCACGGTAGATTTTTGTCTTCCTTGAGTAGATACATCAGTTCTTTTTGTAAGGAGTAATGAGAAGAATCAGTGAGCCTGTGGTGTAATTCTTAAACAGCTTGTACACTTTAAAATGTTGTTAAATTGGTAAGTCTAGAAATCTGGGAACCTCTTGATTGTGTTCTCATTGTATGACCATTGTGGTTTTTTTTTTTTTTTTAAGATTTTATTTATTTGAGAGAGACAGAGAGCTGGAGAGAGAGGGAGAGAGAGAGCACGAGCAGTGGGGAGGGGCAGAGGGAGAGGGAGAAACGGACTGCCCGCCCCTGAGATCATGACCTGATCTGAAGGCAGACGCTTAACTGACTGATCCATCCAGGTGCTCCTGACCATTGTTTTTAAGAGTGGTTTAAGAATTAAGTAATTATGGAATAAAAACTTTTTTAAAAGATTTATTTATTTATTTGAGAGAGTGCATTCGCGTGCGTGCACGAGCAGGGGGAGGGGCAGAAGCAGAGGGAGAGAGAATCCCAAGCAGATTCCCCGCTGAGGGCAGAGCCTGGACTCTGGGCTTGATCCTAGGACCCTGAGATCATGACCTGAGCCGAAACCCAAGAGTCCGCAGCTTAACCAACTGAGCCACCCAGGTGCCCCTGGAATAAGAACATTTTAAAAAATTTGTGCCCTATGGAATACTCATGCTAGATCTAAAATGCTACTTTTAAAGGGGGATCCTAAGGATTAGTGGATTGTAACTTTCAGAATCCTGTTACTTCTCACATGAACTTAAACCATGTTGCATTTAATTAACCATTGAAGGGAGAAAGGAAGGTGAGAGAAATAATGGAAGGTGGGGTGGGGGGAAGACTCCTGGATCTAAGTAGAATCTAAGTAGATTCATATTTTTTAAAGTACCATAGAATACTTAACTTCATTACCAAGTGATCATTTACATTGTGTATATATTTGGCTCCGTGCAAAGTCCTGGAATTTTAGATGTGTTTAGTTTTTTAAAAATCATTAGTATACAAAATTAAGGTAAAAAGATAAGCAAAGATTTTACTTTTGTAATGAAACAAACTTAGTAGTTCAACTTCAGTTGCTCTTTTGTTAGTTTTCTTTGTCAGTAGGATGATTTTGTCATGGAAAATGTCATCACCACAAAAAGATACAGTAGTAGTAAGAAACATTTTGCTTAAAGGATTGGTCTTGTTACTCATTGAGGGAATTTATTGCTTTTTCCATTCTATTGTCATCATTATTAAGAGCTGTAAATGTAGAAGTATGAAAGAATTGAGCTTTTTCCGTTTTGGTTTTTCTTAGGATTCACTCCATCTCCAGTTGCACAGCCACATCCTTCAGCTGGCCTTAATGTTGACTTTGAATCTGTGTTTGGAAATAAATCTACCAATGTTATTGTAGATTCTGGGGGTAAGAAAAAATTGTCTTATTAATATCACTATAATGTTCTCATTTAGATTCTGTGCGAGGACAGATAATAATACTCTTTTGAACATATGTAAATAGATTAAATTGGGGTAGCCAGTGAAGTTGTTCCTCTTCTCCCAGCCACTAGATGAAAACTTGAAGGGATTATTAACTGTTACCCTTTTCTTAGTGGCAGTTTTGACTCTGGGAGGATTTTGTTTCTCCCAGAGTTCAGTGAGATCTTGCTCAGATTAGATTGGTAAATTGCTAATGACTTTGTGTAGAATGTTGTGCTTTGTAGTCATTACAGTTTTTACCTTTACTGAAATGAAATTGGCTTTTTTGAAAAGTAGGAAAATAAAACCTTTGGTACCTGACTTGTTGAGACAGTCTGTACTTAAACAGCTAGAATGTATTAAATATCAGAGCTGTGGGGGCTTTTTGTTATTTTAAGGATGATTCTTTCTGTAGTATGCTTGTTCATTTGTCTTAAAAGAACTTATATAAATTTGTAGAGCCAGGTTTCCATTTGTTTTCATTTAATATCTTGTTAATTTGAAGTTTGTGAAGATTAAGAGTTTCCATAAAATTTACTGTTCTTACCATGGGATGACCTTTGATTTTGGTTAGTAAATAAGTTCAAGTCATTTAAAGAAACATATTGAGGCATTTTTGATTTTATACTATATAATTATACAAAAAGTAAGCAAGCTTATAGAGAGTATGTGTGGACTAAGAATTTTTTTTTTTTCTGTGCAGGTTTATAATTACATTTTTTGATGCATTTGACTTTTTCCTTTTGAGTTTGTCTTTCTGGGAAAAAGGATAAAGTAAATAGAGATCAACTATTCATATTTTGTAAACCACCATTTTTAGTGACTTTCTTTTTCAAATTCTCTGTTATTCCTAGATCATGCTATTGAGTCCTTTAGTGGATTTGTTTGATTGCATTCACTTTACCTTCTCACTTTGGTAGAGAACCTTAAGGGATTTTATTATTTTCATTTCTGAGTAGTGTCCTAGTTTAGTAGATGGTTTAATGTAATTGGAGCATAAAATTAGCAATTTCTTAGGTATAATTTAGGTTAACTGTTTTTAGACAGAAGAAAAGTAATAATCAAATGGTTCATTTTCACTTCCTTTTAATGTAGTGGTTTACATATACCTTACATTCTCCACTCTGAAGAATGTAAAGAGGTCTATAAAATATTTCTTAGAAGAAACATTTTTCAAAGGAACAGAGATGTATTTTTTATCTCTGTTTCTTCAGGTATAAGTGAATCTTCAGAAAATTTTGCCAGTGAGGGGGAGAATTACATTCCATTCCCTTCTCTTTCACAACTTTGGAATAAGGATTGTTTACTCGAATGTTTCTTTCTTCATCCCCTTTAACCTTAATATACTTTTGTCATGAAATAACACATGATTTCTCCCAAAGCAAATTTGCCTTTTCAATCAGTTCACTCTGAAACGGTGAATTTCTCCCTTTTCCATTTAAAGTCATAAATTAATGCCCAGTGTCGTAGAGGACTTTTCCAGCAAACAAGTAGAAAAGGCAGAGATCTCCTATAGAAAGCTGTAGCACCATAAAGTCCCTTACAAATCCTGTTTCATCTGTTTGTAACTTTAAGGCTTTGATGAATTAGGTGGACTTCTGAAACCAACAGTGGCTTCTCAGAACCAGAGTCTTCCTGTTGCCAAACTCCCACCTAACAAGTTAGTATCTGATGACTTGGATTCATCCTTAGCCAACCTTGTGGGCAGTAAGTAGTCTTTGGATTCTTTTAATCTTCTTTACAATAAATTGTATTATAAAAATGAGTCTAGTTTTTAAATGCTTTATTTCCTGTCCTAGATCTTGGCATTGGAAATGGAACTACTAAGAAGTGAGTGTTTTATATGTATTATTTCCCCCATGTACCATTTAGAGGTTGATTTGGCTTTCATCTCAAAAATATGTGTAGAGCTGTCGCATCTTAAATGCTTTTTGTTCACTCTATAGTAAAGAAGCTTTATAATTACAGACATTTAACGTTCTCACTTATGTTTATTTAAAGTGATGTAAATTGGAGTCAGCCAGGTGAAAAGAAGCTAACTGGAGGATCTAACTGGCAACCAAAGGTTGCACCAACAACTGCTTGGAATGCTGCAACAATGGTGAGTTGAAAAAGCTCACAGTAACATGACTAATTTGGGAGAATAACATGAAAATGTTTTTAAAGTGATAGCTGTAAGTAGGAAGATTGTTTATTGAGTTTTAGATATATAAGTAATTTGTATTTTTTTTTTTAAGGAAGCTGATTGACTATATTTGCCAGGTATATTTTAGTAGCTAATATTTATTTAAGGATTACTTTGTGCCAGCCATCATTCTAATAAATAATGTGTGACTTTGTTTTCTGTAATCCTCAAATAAACCTTATGTGGTAGTAACTATTACTGTCCCCATTGTGCAGATGAAATGGAGGCACAGAGTTATTAATAATACACCTAGGATCCCAGAGTTCTTAAGTGATTGGGTAGCTTTTTAGAACCCAGGAAGCCTAACCTCAGAGCATAAACTCTTAAATCATTACCCTCTACTGCTGATCTCAAATTTATTATTTATTTATCTAGAATATAAAACCTTTAGTGTTTTTCTGATCTTACCATTGGTAAGAAACTATACGTGCTTGGTTTTGTTAATATTGTTGAATAGTTCATAGAGTTGATTTTCCTTACTTGCTGTAGTTATATTCTTAAAATCCCCTGAACACTGAACCATTGCTAGGTTCATACATACATACATACGTACATACATACATACATACATACATACATACATACATATTTCCTCTAGTAATGGCTCATGGTTCAGTGATTTAGTGTTGGGTTGCTTTAACAATGTAAGTGCAGCAAATAAGGAGAATCAACTATACGTGTGTGTGTACACACACACACACACACACACACACCCCTTACATTCATTATCTTAAATCCTAAAAAATTCTCGTTCTGGTAGATGCCTTTTTTTTTTTTTAACACAAAAAAAATCTAGTTCATAAGTGTTAAGTGACTGACTTACCTGAAGCTGCCGCACTAACAGGTGCTAGACTTGAGAATCTCGCTCTATCAGGCTGGCTCCACAGCCAGAGCAGCTTGCAGTGCACTGCACTGTTCCCTGCCTTCTCAGTCCCCTGTGGTCATCGTTATATCCGAGCTGAAACAAGGCAGAACCTCACTTTGTTCAACCTCAGCTGAGAACGAAGGTGTTAGGCAACAAATTTTTCACCACTCTATGCATGTCTGTCAGTGACCTTGAAAGCACCGCAAACATTGATTTTGGGGGTCACAAATTTTAGCAAGTAAGCAGATTTATCCTTTTTTTTTTTTTGTAAATTTAACCACCTTTTTAAGGCAACAGCTCTTCATTGATAGAGTTCACTGCCATTACTAATAATAAATCCTTGCATTTAATTAGCTTGTTAAGTTTTTTACACATACCCTTACTATCTTGAGTCTGTTAACAGTGCATTCTTGGGGAAGTTTGAATTGATAGCATTCCAGTTACAAGAATAAAGTTATGCAGTTTTTCTTTTGTAAGTATAAAGCATCTAGAAAGCAGATTTTAGTTGAAATCCATTCCCTCTGATCTGAATCCAGTGTTTCTCTGCACTGTCACATACCTCACTGACCAGGGGATGACAAGAGGTTAGGTTAGTGGATTTTATAGCCTCAGGTGTGAATTATACATTGATAATACATGAAGACTGTTATAAATCCAAATGCTGATATGAAAATACAGTGAATATTTTCTTATTTTGTATTAAATTGGTATTAACCTATATGAAATATTAGGAGTTTGTAGATAGCACTTGACTTAAGATTGACTACCAGAATATAACAGGCGTTTAACCATTTAGAATTTGTATGTAAGTTGATGATATTTATGGTACTCTGTCAATGTGTGTCATCTCTTAAGAATTTTGTTAAAATATTTGTATGTATGTCATAGAGTTTCTTTTTAATGACTAACATATAGGGCTGGTGATGTGATTCACTACTTAGATAAACTGCTGCTTATGATGTTTCTTTACATTTCTAACCTTTTTATTAATCCATAAACACTGTCAAGGTTTTTGAACTTTTTTAAGTTAAAAAATTCATTGGTATTTTATTAATATATATGATGATGTTAATGCTACAAATTCTTTTAATTACTGCTTGCTTTTTTTCTGAATGGTAGACATATGATGCAACCCTGTTTATATGGGATGCACTGAATTTTGCAGTGTTGACACTACTGATAGATTTTATGTTTTATGATACTTGTAATAAACTATTAGATATGTAAGGGGATTATGCCAGAGACTAAATTTCCCTTGTCAACCTTGATAGTGTTTTAGTATAGGTGTTCTTCCATATCGGAAATACAAGGGATTTTAGGTAGTTAGTGAATGTACATGTGAACTAAAATGCTCTCTGTGTATTTTCTGTTGTGTAAGTACTTGTTCTAATCCAGTGTTATTGCATTATGTAATTGTTCTCCCTGGGAAAAACAGAATGGCATGCATTTTCCACAATACGTAAGTGACCAAAAACTAGCCTTTTTGCAATAAATTGGCATGCTATTAACCACTGCTGTAGCAGAATCTCATAACCTTCCAGCTATTACTTGTTTTCACATTCAGATTTTCAATGTGCCAAAAATTCTTTCTAGCATCTACTGATTTCATGGATGTGTTGCAGAATTGATTCTGATGGTGGCATGGGAAAGACAGATTTTTTTTTCTTGCTTAATATTCTGCCATTTGCTGCCAGATGGCTGGGTGTCTGTGTGTGTATCTGTGCTGCCACTATGCACTTGATGATTTCTGAATGAAGGGAAATGTTGATTGTGGTAATGTTGAAAATAACAATTGCATGAAATCTTACAGGCTTCTGCTGTACTTGGCAGTTTGTCTACTGCTCTTGCAGCTCTCGGTTTTTAAGTAGGGAGAGACCAATAAGTCCTACATGCTCACTCAAATACTAAACATTTAACTATTCACTTTAGTTATGCTTCATTTAACTTCTCCATGCATATGTTCAAATTGCCATATAATTTCAGTTATTTTTTATGTTTCAGCAGTGTTATTGGTCTTTCTCCTGTATTCAGTTTCAGTTTTCATTATAAGATAACACACACACAGGGAATGTTGTTAAGACAGCAAATATATCTAAAATGATTTTGTGCTCAGATTGTGTATTTACGGAGCATGAGGTAGGATAGAAGGCAGAGGGGAACTTGAAACATCTTAGGGCTAGGTGGCTCTTTTAAGAATTAAAGCATAAGTAGATTTAAGAATTTCTTGCCCCTCCAAATTGGTGCTTTGCAGAAGATAGTTTAAATAATTTACAGAGTAAATTAGAAGGAATGCTAATATATGTACTCTGTATAAGAACTGTGTGCGTCATAAAAATAGTCATACTCAGTAGTGTTTTGAAATCTTTGGGGTTCTTTGAAAAAAAGTGAATTGAGGTCCTTAGCATAATTTTTTGGAAGATCAGATTATTAATTGATTTGGGATCTTTAATTTTTTTTTCTTGCTCAAAATACTGAATCACCTAGGAAAACATTCACTAATACTTCCTCTGGGTAAACATTTTTTTTTTTTTTTTTAAGATTTTATTTATTTATTTGAGAGGGAGACGGCGAGAGCACGAGCAGGGAGGAGAGGGAGGGAGAAGCAGGCTCCCCACTGAGCAGGGAGCCTGGACCTGTGCTCCATCCCAGAACCCTGGGATCATGACCGGAGCCAAAGGCAGACACTTAACTGCCTGAGCAACACAGGTGCCCCTGGGTAAACATTTTTTATGATAGTGATAGACTTTAAATTTTAGAATTTTCAGTGGTTTTTTTTTAAATTTGAAGATCTTTAAAGCTGTAAAAAGCACATTGTAATTTTAGATCACTGTTGTATCTAAGTTTAAATGGTATTTCTTTTCTAATAATTCTGCTTTTCTGCTAATTTCGAGGCACTCTTTCATTGAGCATTAATTGACACAGTTATTAATGATCACAAGTGTCACATTTAATCACAGCTGTCTTAGCAATTCTTTTTAGTGGAACTACAGCTATTGATTCCTTGAATTCAGTTGACATGAGTTATACATCCTTGTTTATTTTTTCTCCACCATGTCAGGCACCCCCTGTAATGGCCTATCCTGCTACTACACCCACAGGCATGATAGGATATGGAATCGTAAGTATTTTTCCAGACATAACTTTTTGAAAATAGATTGATTCATATTTAACATGACTTTTTGACGTATTTAATATGACTTGGTGACACACATACCTTTAGTGCCTAACATAGAACCTTGTATCATAGCACTGGTTGTCATAAATATCTCTAGAATAGTCATTATACAGCAGATACCATTTATGAATGTTCACAGTATTACTTGGCTTATTTTTCCCCTCATAACTTTGCTAAGTATTTTATACTTCATTACAAACTCATTTAAACATCAGTGTTAACTCCAACCCTTTATTTGTGTGACCTTACATTAATACCATTGAAGTCTTATAACCTTAATACTGTAGGGGAAGGGAGGAATTAACATTTCTCAATGGTACAGAGAAACTTTCCTATGACAGTGATTGCTACCATGCAGAAATAGTTGTTTTACTTTTAAGCTGCCCACAGTCCACAGTCTACACTGCCCTTACTCTCCCAGCTGTCTTAATATATAGACCCACTTAGATAAGAAATGGAGGGAATGGCTTCAGCCCCCTGTATGTGTGGGAGGAACTGTTCCTGGTAGGACACATCCCGTCACATCCCGTGGGGTTGCTACTGTGCTGCTGTGCTGCTACTTTAGTTACATGTTAGGAAGTAGCTTGGAGTTGAACTGAAAGGTGGAACCTGTAGGAAGGTAAGATTTTAGAGTATGGCATTTTAACCAAAATAATGTAGTGGTGTGTATGTTCTGTTTGGGTACTTATTTGTGTTAATTTTATATCATGGAATAGTAGTATTTAAACAGAGAAATGGTTGAGATCCTATTTTCAATTACTCAAGAATGAACTAATCTCTTCGTGTCTTATTTAAACCTCTTCTTGGTTCTCCCTAACAATAGATGAAACAAAAGGAAAGAACCATAGAGCGTAAACCTCTTCAAAGAATCAACTGTATTCACTTCGGATCGCTTGCATAATGGCATAAGAACTGATAAAGATAGTTTACTTTGAAATATCTTAGCCATTTTACAGTTTCAAGTTTTCCTATGTTTGCAATTTCAAAATTACGAATTTGAAAATTTTGGATTGGTTAAAATTATTTTGTCTGCCATACTGTAGAAAGGTTTAAATTTTGCTTAAATTTAAGCTTTTTCTTTCTTTCTTTTTTTTTTTTTTACAAACCTTAGAAGTGTACACATTTAAGACTTAAAAAAAACTCTTAAGAATTTATAGCTGTCAGTCTCATTTGTATTTAAAAGAATTTTTCCTTTGAGTTAAAGTACTAGTACATTCCATTCCTGTCATCCTTCTTATTTACTACTTAAGGAAGATGTTAGTCGACATTAACTAAATTAATATTTTTCTATTTTTTAGCCTCCTCAAATGGGAAGTGTACCTGTAATGACACAACCAACCTTAATATATACCCAGCCTGTCATGAGACCGCCAAACCCCTTTGGTCCTGTATCAGGAGCACAGGTACTAATGTGCCACATGTGAACTCTTAATGTACCTGATGTGAGAAGGATAGAATACTAAAAATTCCTTTTATACAACTTAAGAAACAAATTATGTTTTTCCCCTTGACGGTGGATGTTATTTGCTTCCTATCTTTATCATCTAAAAGAGCTTTTAAGAATATTGATTTATTTGGAAAGAATGGACAAGCAGATTACAAACATTTAGAATGGAAAATTCTTGACAGCTTGTAGTTGGTCAGTGCAGAGGATTGTTTTTCTGAGGTTAAGGAACCTATTTTCTGTTCATGATTCTGGCTTGCTGTCCTTTGTGAACGCTAGAAACCTTGAACTCAGAGCTCCAGTGTTTTGGCTTGAATGGTGCTACAACAAAGGTGTTGCTCTTGAGATATTTGTGAAACGTGGCAAGTCTACAAAAAGTTGTGAATGTTATTTTTTCATTAGATAACTTCCTGCCACTGAGTATTGTATTTAAAAACAAATTAGTGGGGCGGGGTTGGGGGGTGGGAAGGCAAAAAAACCTTGAAATGCCATGCTGACCTAATTTCTTTAAAGGAGAGACTTTCCTCTTCAAGTGTTTCTAAGGCCCTCTCCCAGTTCCTGAAATTTCACCCCAAATATTCATACTTTTTCATCCCATTACTGTTAGCATTAGGAGAATCTGGATTTAAAAAAAAAAAAAAAGCTTTTCCCCACTATGGTTAGAAGATATGTGCAGTTCTTTGTTACTCGTGGCATACTAGTGGATGAGACACTCAGGAAGTGATGGAATGGCTTCTCATTCTTTGTCTGTGGCCCTGCTCCTGTTGTGTGACACTTAGAAATAATTATGCACAATTGTTAAAGTACTCCTTTCTTACACTGCTTCTGATGCCAACTGATTGGTTACTTTCATGTGTTTAATACTTAGTTGAAAACATTGGTGTGAGCATTTGATAATGGGCTTGTTATTCCTTTCCCACTTGAATACATGTAGTATTTACACTTGCCAATGCCTACAGTGTTAAACTACCAATATTAGTTTGTATTGGTCCAGTTTGAATCTAGTCTCTATGTATTTCATAGACTCATGAACCACTGGCAGTCAATCCTTTTGTTTTTTAGTCTTTTTGAGTATTTAACTCATTTCATAAATTGGCATCTCAGGGAGTACCAGTAACTTGAAGTGGATAGTGAATTTAGTTCTGATTAAAAGGTAAAATCCATGTTCTTTGTAATTCACGCATTTGCCCAGATGCCACTTTTTTCCCCCTTTTTGTTCATGTTAAAGTAACCTTTTCTTCCTGTTCCTTAGTCAAAAGTATTTACAATGAAGATAGATGGGAGTGAGAGTAATTGATGCAGCCATAACTTTTTTATAAGTCCGTTATTTTGTATGTATTTGGTTTTATAAAGTGGATTATGGATGTATATATAGTTTACTTTGTCTTCTGTCTTTTACCACTAGTAGTTCTAAATACTGGCTTTGCTAAAGAAATATACTAGATTTTATAATCTTTTAAAATGTTGATGATTTCCCTAACTATTGGTGTAGATGTTTTCTTGAGATTGTATGTCTTCCTCATGTCCTTTATTTTTTCTTTGTTTATACTTTTAAGTCAGATATATATCATTTTTTTTTAAGATTTACTTATTTATTTTAGAGCACATGCGAGTAGGGGGGAGGGGCAGAGGGAGAGAAGCGGACTTCCCACTGAGTGTGAAGCCTGACGCGGGGCTTGATTTTATGACTCTGAGATCATGACCTGGGTCGAAATCAAGAGTCGGATGCTGGGACGCCTGGGTGGCGCAGTCGGTTAAGCGTCTGCCTTCAGCTCAGGTCATGATCCCAGGGTCCTGGGATCGAGTCCCGCATCGGGGTTCTCCCTCTGCCTCTGCCTCTCTCTCTATCTCTCATGAATAAATAAATAAAAAAAAAAAAGAGTCAGATGCTTAACCAACTGAGCCACCCAGGCACCCCTATCATTTATTTAAAAAAAAATTTTTTTTTTCTGTATAGACTAAGTGACTAGCACCTTAAATGTATTTAAGAGAAAAAGCCTTAATCCAGTGCTATAAATTTACCAGGAACTGCTGACTACAGTAAGTTTTTCCCCGATGTGCAGCTGACCTTATATCCCCAGTCTCGGTCTTGTCTTGCAGGTTCCTGTCTCATAAACAGAATACATTATAACCTTAAGCTTGGATACCTCAACCTGACTTTTCCAAGCACTTATTATCTCACCTTCTTCTCAAAATAATTTTTAAGGTAGATGGGCCTACTATCACCATCCCATTTTATAGATAGAGAAAGCTGAGACTTGGAAAGGTTCTTCAACTAAGTAAATTGCTGAAATGCAACTTATCCCCAGGAATCCCTGGTTTCTGGTCCAATGCTCATTTGTAACACTTTGCCTCTCTACTAATGGGATTGGGCCCATATGCCTACTACACTAACACTGTCTTCCTTTTGGCAGCAGTGAACCACTCTGCAAATCTTTGGGTTTCCTGCTGGATTATAAACTACATTTATACATTTCAGAATATAACTTCTGTAGATGTCAAGAACATCTTCTGTAGTTTTAGGAATGCTTTTAACCTTACTCAAACATTTTATATGAATTTTGCTTTATTAAAAAGAAAAAAACAGGGGCGCCTGAGTGGCTCAGTTGGTTAAGCGGCTGCCTTCGGCTCAGGTCATGATCCTGGAGTCCCAGGATCGAGTCCCGCATCGGGCTCCCTGCTCTGCAGGAGTCTGCTTCTCCCTCTGACCCTCCTCCCTCTCATGCTCTCTGTCTCTCATTCTCTCTCTCTCAAATAAATAAATAAAATCTTTAAAAAAAAAAAAACATGGTTTAAAAAATTGTAGTAAAAAATCTGCCTTTATAAAAAGTAGTGGCCCCCTAGCATCTGCTCTTATTCTCTTTTATATCCTCTTGCCTTCTAAAAATCCCCATAACTCACTGAAACACCAAAAAAGTACAAGAGTTTCCATGGGCATGAAAAGAGACAGTGACAGAAATACCTTTTCCTAATGAAATTATGCCAGAAGAGAAGAGAATGAGAACATTAGAGTAATAAGTTTCAAGTTAAGAAATAAAATTTGATGTTAGTACTTAACTCTAAATATAGATTGAAGAAAGCACATGAAGGAAGCAAATGGATAACTAGGAAAAGAGAAAATCAGGTGGCAGTGAACTGGCTCAGAAAAGCTTCAGTCAGTTTCAATCAATTGAAAATCAGACTCTCAGATTTTTTTTTTTTAAAGATTGTATTTATTTATTTTAGGGAAAGAAAGCACAAGCAGGGGGAGGGGCAGAGAATTTCAAAAGGACTCCATGCTGAGACTCTCATGACCCTGAGATCATGACCTAAGCCGAAATCAAGAGTTGGATGCTTAACCAGCTGAGCCACCCAGGCTCCCCAGGATCTCAAATCTTTTAATGTTACTTTTCATTTCTTTTCCCCTTTGTTCTCCCAACTGTGCATCACAAAGCCCCATTAATTGTTTCTCTGCTATCATTAGATCCATCCTTCTTGCTTTCTACAGCCTTCACCCAGATTGGAACCCTTTATCTCATGCTTATTTTACAACAGTCTAGGGAGACTGTGTTTCTTGCCTTTCTAATTTAATCCATTCTGTAGATACTGGAATAATCTTCTATGGGCAGTATTTTTAGCATCTTATCTCCATATTTAGAAATCTAAGGAAGTGAATCTAAATATAACTGAACATATAAGCCATCCCCTTAGCTTTCCTTCTTTCTTAACAGCTACCTCACAGAGTCTCCATATCTGTAAGAGTAATAGTGAGTAAACAGAACACTCAGGTTCTTCAATTCCCATGCCTTTACAATTCTCAGTAAGTATCCAGTGTTTTGCTGCTTGTCTTTGCCAGAAAGCCTTCATCTGTCATAAAGTAGATTTATTCTTCATTCTTTTTTTTCCTTTGATAATGTTTTTAGTTTTTTAAGGTTTTATTTTAATTCCAGTTAGTTAACATACAGTGTTATATTAGTTTCAGGTGTACAATATAGTGATTCAACTTACATACCTTACCCAGTGCTCATTCTTTACTTATTCTTTAGTCCTCTCTCATCCCTTTCCAGTACTTCTGAGATCTGAAGTTCTTTTCCTTATCCTGCATTATTTTTCTTTATAGAAGTTACTATATTACCTGACATCTCTTTGTCCTGTCTGTCTATCCATCTATCCATCCATCCATCCATCCAGTCTGCAAGAGACTCCTGGAGTGGATTATAAGCCTCGTAGAGGCAGGCTTCTATGTGTTTGTTTACTTCTGTGTCCCTGGTTCCTAGAACAGTGCCTGACTCATAATAGTTTTGAACATTGTCAAACAAGAACATTGTCAAACAAGTGAATCTGGTTGAGAACTAACCTTTTCTATTATGTAACTTACTTGTTCTTCATTGAACTCTCTTTTCACTTATAACCATTGTGTAATAATTCATAGCCATATTTAAAATTGGTTTAATTTGTTAGCTAATAGTTACTGTAAGCTAAAATATCACATGACAGTCACCTAAGAAATGAAGATACACCTTTAATTTCATGATTGAATATTTTTAATAATTAAAAATTATGCTGTTTATTTTTTTTAAGATTTTATTTATTTATTTGACAGAGACACAGGGAGAGAGGGAACACAAGCAGGGGGAGTGGGAGAGGGAGAGGCAGGCTTCCTGCAGAGCAGGGAGCCTGATTCGGGCTCCATCCCAGGACCCTGGGCTCAGTCCTTCCCAAAACTACACAAGATGTTCTTGACATCTACAGAAGTTATATTCTGAAATGTGTAAATGTAGTTTATAATCCAGCAGGAAACCCAAAATCTGAGCTGAAGGCAGATGCTTAATGACTGAGCCACCCAGGCAGCCCTAAGCTGTTTATCTTTGAATTAGGTGAGATTTTTTTCATGCTTTAGTGTTCAATGGTTCTGAGCCAGTCCCTTGGATTAATTTTGCCCATTCAAATGCTAGTTGTAGGGGCGCCTGGGTGGCTCAA